AAGTGACTATTCAGCAGGACATATCTCATCTTGTACAGCTGTTGCCTTGGACGTCATCCCCTTGTAACAAAAGCTGTAGTTTGTTCCTGTGATTCAATGATTCAAAGTACATCAAGCGCTTGCTGGGATGAGGCCACGATGTTTAGTGTGCACCTGAAGATCTTTGACAAACTCACAGAAGATGACCCATTTGGATTGGCTATTGAAGATTAGCCTATGACCGGATGAAGTTCGGCGCTGTGTTAGTGGTAAGACACGTGTGCACGTAACCATTACAGATCGCATTTATCTCTTTACTTTAGTCTTGCAAGTATATTACATATGTAATCATCTTTTATATCATTTTGCTATGAATGTATGACATATGTCAATATATGTTCATGATACTGCAATATGATATCAAGAAAATATCCAAATACCGACTACGATATTAACAAAGCCAATAAAGTCGTTAACTAATACAACAGAATGAAAGTTAAATGAAGAGAAGTACAAATGTTTAACCTGAAACATTGAAACTATGACAACTGCGTTTAAACATAATACTAATTTATATGACAGAACAGTGTTTTAACCTTTCACAACCTACTCAGGATCTCAATCTGGTACTTCAGTGACATCTTTAGATGTTTTCACAGGCTGACCATAATTAGATGCGTTAATTTATTGTTGAGTATGTGACAAGCACTGGGACTCTCCTGAAGTTGATCACTAAGATTCAGCACAGTAAATATGGGTCAAATCTCGCATTTCTTGATTGATTCTGACAATAGTTCGCCAATGCTGTTTTGTTAGCATTGTTTGCACGACAATCCGATAATGTGGACAATCTTTAGATCATGGGACAATGTGAGTTCCTGATTCAAACGCTGTTCTGGATTGTTCAATGTCTGTGATGGAAATCACAGATAAATCGTACTTAGCGACGAGCTACTTTCTTGGAAATATTGAATTTTGTAAAGTAGAGCCTCGGGGATCTAAAACATAGATGGTGGTCGAGAACATATATAATGTTTGTCCTGATTCGCCACAATAACTGGAATATGAACTTGGACCATGAAAGTGTTAATTCAGTTCTGTATTTTGTTACTGTAGGCGATCGGCCCAAACTACGTACATGCCATAGACAAGTTTTATAGGTGTACACTACTCGATGAAGAGTATTAGCATTCAAGTTAGTGTTCTACCGAGTCACATTGCTTGATATACATACCTAGATTCTTAATTAGAATTGCAATCGTTGGTTGACACATATTAAACCTAGATTAAGAAGGATACAAGTAATACTTTGTGGGTATGTAATTTGTACGTAGCTTACTATAAGTGGGGCATATTAAGAGAAAGTGATATTTACAACATAGGCTTTTATTTCTTTCAATATTAATATACCTTCCAGTTTAAATACTTAACTGACGGGAAAATATGGAATTGGGCAAGAGCAACCCTAACTCTTTTTATAGTTTTAGGGGCGGTGGGGTAGCCTAGTGGTTAAAGCGTTGGCTCGTCACGCCGAAGACCCGGGTTCGATTCCCCACATGGGCAGAATGTGTTAAGCCCATTTCTGGTGTCCCCCGCCGTGATATTGCTGGAATATTGCTAAAAGCGGCGTAAAAGTAAACTCAGTCAGTCAGTCAGTTTTATAGTTTTATAATGCGAGAAAACCCTTCCCACATTCAAAACTAAGGTATAGTGAGTAAGTTAAAATTTACAAAAAGAAGTAGGATTAGGTTTTGTTACCTTTTGGAAGTAAACTATGCCAGTCTTGTTCATGGATATAATTTCAGAGGAGATAAGAGAGGAAGGGAGAGGAAGAATCTGGTTGTTTTTTCTATCCTGCTTTTGATTGCATTATTATTCCTTTTGCTTTTTTTTTTGTTTATTGTTTCTATTGCGTTATTTAATTCTGCTATAGAGTTTCAAATCTCCTGTTTGACACTGATGTCGGAAGAATCTTGTGTTATTTTTCTTCAATTTCTTGCTTCAATTCTTTTTCTCTTTTTTCCATTGATCTTTTTTTCTCGGAAGAGTATTTAATGGTATGACCCTAATCATTAACAGAAGCCTTTCAAAGAATAACTGATCGCCTATGTTAAATATGATTTTCCCGTTCTCTTCTCACTTTTTGTATTGTTCAATGATATTTGAAATAACGTTTTGGCTTTCTTAACATAATCTTTGTCATAAAGAAGTGAATTGTTGAAATTCCAATATCCTCTGCCTCTTTCAGTGTTATCAAATTTAAGGGTTACCTAATGAATAGAATGATCTGATCTATATGCTGGATCTATTCCGGTTTTATGTATGAATTTTTCGAGGTCTTGCGATAGAAGGAAGAAATCGAGTTGGGATTGCTTAATTGGTTTTGTTTGTTTCCAGGTAACTCGTTTTGAGTTTTGGTGTAGGTCTCTCCTAGCATCATACATGTTAAAACATCGATAAGTTCTAGAACCTTTTCTCTTGCATTCGGATTATTTACAGCTTTATAGTTATATAGGTCAATATCCGGAGTTTGGATTAAGTTCCAGTCGCCACAGATGGAATGGTGATCAGAATCGAATCTTTTAACAATAATAAACTTTTTTTTTTCAAAGAACGATGGCGAAGCTGTTAATTGGTTTGTAACTTAAAGTTTAGAGTGGTACTGTTAATACATTATAGTTTAATTATAGAATTCTATTTGTAGTTCTGGTTCTAGAAATTACGTATGTGGATAGTCGAGCTGTTGTTTTGTTATAGAATAATATTTTTTCTGAGGGTAACTATAATATGTTGTGTGTGCTTTAATTTAAGTGCATCTTTGTTTCATGGTAATTAGAAAGTTCAAAGTTGATTTGATAATGTGTATTAATTTAAGCAACTATACGGGTGATTCTAGTGGTATATTGTGTATTTTGATGGGTTTTGTTATTAAGTTGATGTATTCTGTGGAGATCTGTGTCCTTTTGTTGGTCTTGATTAGTAGTGATGTTTTTTATTAGTGTTTTGCATATGGTCCATGATGTTATGTCAGCTGTGTGATGTGGTGAGTTGGATTAGGTTTGGTTGTATTTTGTTGTAGTTGTTAGGATTGTTAGGATTGGATTGGACATGATTATAGGTTTTCAAATTCCAAGAAAATGCTTGTCCTGTGTCATAGTATATACATCATTATGCGTTACTAAAGTACCAGATATGTACATCAAGTTATTGGCAAAACAAAGTTAATAATTAAACAGCAAACCACTCAAGGACAAGCATATGCTCCATGCATACAACTTAATGACATTCATTATATACATGTAATCCAATATAAGTCGAAACATATAAATTGACGACTTCTTTGGGTTAAATAGGTTTTGTGGTTTGCATCACTGTTACAGTGCCTATAGACTCTGAGTGAGTGAGTGGGTGAGTTTAGTGTTACGCCGCACTCTGCAATTTTCCAGCTATATGGCGGCGGTCTGTAAATAATCGGATCTGGACCACCAGACAATCAAGGGATCGACACCATGAACATCAGTCTACGCAATTTGGAACCGATGACATGTGTCAACCAAGTCAACGAGCCTGACCTCCCGATCCCGTTAGTCGCCTCTTACGACAAGCATGGGTTACTGAAGATCAATTCTAACCCGGATTTTCACGGGTACCTATAGACTCTGAGGCAACCTTCTCTTTCTGGTCTAAAAATCTAGCATTCAGTGTCGAAAGTGTTAATCCACAGGTAATTAAGGAATACTGTGCCGACTAACATAAACATTTCTTCTTTGAACAGCATTTTAGAAGTTGGGAAGTACAATATAAACACAGCTTATGGATAACAAAGTCTTTATTTCGTAAGTGCGACGTTTCGATACCAATTCTTGTACCGTTATCCTTGCTCGAGGCCAGCTTATTGCCGATATTAGACCAAAGTGCCGAAAAGATTCAGCTGGGACTATGACATCGCGTTCAACGACATATCGAGTAATAGGAGTTCGAGTTAAAGGGCGTTCTCTGTCCATTTAACCCACACATGAATATACAAAGTTTCAAGATGATGATGGCTGGCCCAGACACTAACATCTGCCTCACAACAAACTACAAATACGAAGAATACTCAGTGCATCTTCACCTCACCTGTCTGCCTCAAAGTTGTGGAACATTAGGAACAGATTATCATGTATTTCCGTACCAGTTTGCAATATTCCGAAATCGAACCTATTACTGATTTTATGACAAACAGAAATGAGAATGCCGTTTGGAAAATTGCATACCGTATCATAACACAGAGATTTAACTCAAATATCTGTAGTTTGAGAAATAGTATCTTATAGCGATTACTAACACTGCCCTTCTTCGTGACACCACCTGTTAATACATCGGTATTCTTGTCAGTAATCGTGTCTGGATCAGACAAACCCTCTGGGTCAGACATGCACCAACCAAATCCGCGTGTCTGACCACCCGATCCCGTTAGTCGCCTCTTACGACAAGTATGGGTTGCAGAAGCCCGGATCTTCACGGGTCACCACCATTGACGAACTATAAGCTATCATTGGTTACACATTTCTCAAAATGAACTACTTTCAGATGTTGATGTGCCCAGGGATGGTAAAACTATTTAAGTCGACAAGGGGTGGTGCTAACGTTTCTACAAGTGATTTGTAACCATGCACTGCGTTGCTGAAGCTCTAATGCAGAGAAATTGTCTAAAAGTACACCAAAACGATCTTAATACGACTATGAAAGAGACATTTTTCAGACAGTGAAACAGTTATGTGTGTAGTTTCTGCCAGACAGTCCCCCCTGTGATAGATCCTCCTCCTCCTTCAGCATACAGCCGACACGTGAATGGATTGTCTACGTGGGAGAAGTATACACAGTCAGAGAGGGAGACGCACAGGTGTGCACAGGTGTGTTTGGTAGTGTTGGTGAGTTCGTGTTTCAGGCTGACGTCAGTTGTGGAAAACACCTGAGAAAAACCAGTGTTCACCTCCGAGCAGTTTGTATGCAGCTCCATTATCCATGATTGTACATCTCTACCTGTACTTTCTTTCATTGGAGTTAGTAATGTTCCCGTTGGTAATGTTGCCGATGTTACCATTGTCAGTGCTGTTTGTACCGTTGTTGCTGGCGTTTACACCACTACTTGTACTTTCGCCATTGGAATTTCCGCTGTTACTGTTACCGTTGCCGCTGTTACCATTACCGTTGCCATTGTTACCATTGCCGTTGCCATTATTACCGTTGCTGTTGCCATTGTTACCATTACCGTTGCCATTGTTACCATTACCGTTGCCATTGTTACCATTTCCGTTCCCGTTGTTACCATTGCCGTTGCCATTATTACCGTTGTTGTTGCCATTGTTACCATTACCGTTGCCATTGTTACCATTACCGTTGCCATTGTTACCATTACCGTTCCCGTTGTTACCATTGCCGTTGCCATTATTACCGTTGTTGTTGCCATTGTTACCATTACCGTTGCCGTTGTTACCATTGCCGTTGCCATTATTACCGTTGCTGTTGCCGCTGTTACCATTACCGTTGCCATTGTTACCATTGCCGTTGCCATTATTACCGTTGCTGTTGCCATTGTTACCATTACCGTTGCCATTGTTACCATTACCGTTGCCATTATTACCGTTGTTGTTGCCATTGTTACCATTACCGTTCCCGTTGTTACCATTGCCGTTGCCATTATTACCGTTGCTGTTGCCGTTGTTACCATTACCGTTGCCGTTGTTACCATTGCCGTTGCCATTATTACCATTGCCGTTGCCGCCATAAGACACTGAAAACATATATATGGCGTTTACATAAATGTATTTAAAACAGGGCTAAATGCAACTTACTACATGTACCTTGAACCCAACGTATAGGTAAACATATCATATGCATTTCACTACGAAAGCCTGAACATAAGAGTATCTAATGAACAATAAATTGTTCAAGAATAATAGCCCGGAAAAACTAATATGGGCTCAAGTTTTACAACGCAAAATGTATCACGAAACAATTGTGTTAATGTTCTCAACATTGATATGGTTCCTCCTCTCTGAGGAAAAAGGTATTTAACGGTTGATGCCTGAGACATCAAATCGAGTGGTCAAATATAAAACTGACCGGACACACAAAAACAAATCTATTTGTACATGTGTCTTTGGGTGAGTTAAGTTTAACACTGCCTTCAGCAATATTCCAGTAATGTCAAGGCAGGAATACCAGAAATGGGCTTCACACATTGTGCCTATGCGGGGAATCGAACCCGGGACTTCGGCGTGACGAGCAAAGGCGTTAACAGGATAGATGCAATGTGCAGATTTATACAGGGGATAGAATATCATACACCTGGATATACAAAACCATATCTGGGTCATATGGCATAAGCAATTATGTAAAATCAATTATGACTCATTGAATATAGGTAATACAATCCATCCGATTTTCATTTATTAAAATTCTTTTACTGAGTCAGATTGAGACATATCGGTAAGAACACAGTGTTTGAGCAGCACTTGACGTATGTATGGGCCCCTCGTTAGTTTTTATGCCACTCTCCCACTGCTCGTGGTACAAAAATGACGCAGGACAATTAAACCACAAATGCCCCATTGCAATGCGTTAAATATTTATCTCTTGTATATCCACTGGATATAAGAAATGTAACATTCCACCCATTGGATATACGAAACGTGAGGTCAGTTGTCAATGATAACAGTCCATCCATTTGATATAGGAAATGTTTGGCAAAACGCCCTTTATAACAGGCCAACCACTGGATATACGAAATGGAAGGTCAAATGTCCGTAAGAACAGGCCAACCACTGGATAAAGAGATGGAAAGTCAAATGTCCGTTAGAACAGACCAACCACTGGATATAAGAAATGGAAGGTTAAATGTCCGTTACAACAGTCAACCCACTGGATATAAGAAATGGAAGGTCAAATGTCCGTAAAACAGGCCAACCACTGGATATACGAAATGGAAGGTCAAATATCCGTTATAACAGGCCAACACACTGGATATACGAAGTGGAAGGTCAAATATTTCCGTTAGAACAGACCAGCCACTGGATATAAGAAATGGAAGGTCAAATATCCGTTAGAACAGACCAACCACTGGATATAAGAAATGGAAGGTCAAATGTCCGTTAGAACAGACCACCCACTGGATATAAGAAATGGAAGGTCAAATGTCCGTCAGAACTGTCTATGATATCAGAAATTTGAGGTTATATGTACGCGCTCCGTCCAAAACATGTAACAGAAAATATCAGTGGATAGGAAAATCAAGTCTTCAATATCCCCAGAAAGAGATTCTTTTGGTGCAAAAGGGAAATAAGCTGTAAAATTGTCATGGTTGATCACCGATGACATCAGGATACTCATATCCTTCCCTACCGGTAGCATCCGCCATTCACACAATTTCCCTTTAAAATAAAATATGTCTCGCCTGACTCTATACTGTAGTTCTCATGCCTTTCGACTGCAGCCTGTAAATTGCGGTTTGTTTTGTTGTTTAAAGCTGCACTCAGCAATATTAAAGCTATATGGTGGCCTTCGGTAAATAATCGAGACTGGACCAGACAATCCATTGATCAACAGCATAGCATAAGGATCGATCTTCGCGAATGGGATACGATGACATGTGTCAACCAATTCAGCGAGCCTGACCACCCAATCCCGATAGTCGCCATTTGTTGCTGAAGACTCATTCTAACCCGCAGGCTGTAAACAACACAAGTGATCGATAGACAGGAAATCCGGTTCGAATTTTATAAAACTATGACTGTTATGTAGAAGTGCAAAGTCACCTATGCTTATTAGTATAGGAAAACGTTTTGGAAATAGATTCATTTTGCAACCCAGCGCTGCTGAGAAATGTCAGGTCCAATGTCAATGATAAAGGAACCATCTCTTACCTCTCAGGGAGACCAGTATCACGGTAACGGCAAGTAAGAGATGTATGGAGCCCATCACCTGTCTAGCAGCTCGATTTCTTCGTAACAGAATTAATCCTTCAAAGCGTTGCTATGTCATTTCCTCGTCGGCTTAAAATGTCAGTTGAGTAGCGTGAGATCATAGAGTGCTTAATTCTGCGCCAGTAGTATGGATGAGCATGGATCCTCGACTGAGAGGTATGTGTTTGTTAGAATATCCGTACTTGGTTTCTGTCAACTGGTTAATCAGGTTGATAACAATCCCTGCCCCTCAGAGTTTCTGCTATGGATCGCAAAAATGAATTGAATCACCTTGAATTCCTAAATAAACAAAATTCCATGTATGACTCAGTGTTTTTCTTCAACACAAAGTTTCAGTAGATTACACACACCGTTCATTTCTTCAACACAAAGCTTGAGTATAATCTCCAAACCTTTCTAGAACGTCTCCAAGCATTGTCTCCATAAGCTCGATGTGGAAGTTGATGCAAGACGGGAAAGCGAACAACGTCAGTGTACACGGACAGGCCGGGAAATCTATAATGTCTTGCTAGACGTTTGTTGTTGTCATCATCCGGCCCCTGAACAATGAACAATGACACTTCAGTCTGACTTAAACAATAGCAACGTTATCTTAGTCGAAGCCTTGATAGCGAAACGTATATTGATTGGAAGTTCATTTTTGTGCATGAACGACGATGTTGCAGGTGCGTCTCTATCAGCTGAACTGAAACACAGAAACTTATTTGCAGTCTGGGTTGAAATTAACGTTCTTTACGTAACCATTAGGTCATAATATTGCATGTCAGCGTTATGTTAGGATGTTCTTCACATGGTTCATGGTTTCTTGGTGGACAGAGGGACCCAGTCTTCAAAGATGTACGTGTCTTCACAGTCACTGGTTATCTCTTACAAATATTCTCTGAGGTTTGGGGCGGTTTGATAAGAAACCTTTACCATTGCCCCCTATTATGTTTCTGTATGTCTTGGATTGCGTCCATGCTCCAGTGAGCACAGCGTCTGCCTTGTTTTAGATACTGAAACACAGAAACGTCCGGTGTGTTTAAAGGTAATGGTGAAGCTACCATTACCTGTCGGTGGTGTGGTGGATAAATCATCTGCCTGGAGATCGGAAAATCGGTGGTTTGAATAACGATGGAGATGTTAGAAGATGGTACCGGTAGATTGAGCACCAGATCAGCGTCAGTTCGTGATGCAGCAAGAATATGTGAAGCAATGGAGTGCTTGCCCATCTGCGCCATAATTTACCCACTCCATTTACAAACAAATTATAGCCCATTATTTCAAAAGGCGGAATAGTGGATTAACGATTTTTGACAAACAATGAATCGTAAGAACCTAATGCTAATGAATCGTCTCCCTCAGTGTGTAAATATCTCCACACTTTGTTAATTAAAAGATTTAAACAAACAGGAATGTGCTGAAGTCATCAAGTGCTTGCAATTACGTGTAAGTAAATATCTACCAGGAGGTTGAACTGTGACATTTCCTTTTATCTATACTGCACCAGCTCACCGACAAGAAACTAAGAACGAATAGAATGATATTGTCCGTACATTTTCACAAATATTTCACAAACGGTGTCTGTTGTTAGTAACGGAGAAAAAAATTAGGTCAGGCAGTGTTATTTCTAAGTTTGTAAATTCCCAATACAATGTTTGACATTCTGTATGTATGGTAACTTTCTTTAATTTTCTGCTGTGCGAGAGACTTGGTTAGAAAACGAGCGTTCGCTGGTCACGCCCAAGACCCGAGTTTGATTTCTACATAGGTGGAATCTTAATCCGAGTGTCCTGTCTTGGGATGTAACAGTAGCTTCACCATAACATTAGTGTAAAACTCTGCCCCACTTACTCCCACTAAAGAGCCTTTGATTCTGTTCAAAAACCGCCATAATTATAAGAATTCACTCCTGAAAAGATATCAAATACACAATGCCATTTCGAAAGTGGCCGAGTTGGGTATTTTTTTCTGGTTTTGCTTTCGTATTTGGTGGTTTATGATAATGCTGAACAGGTATACGCATTTTGTGATGTTTTCAAACGAATGTCGAATAATGAGATACTCACTATAGACATAGTATAACAATGAAATACATAATCATTATATATGCATGACCATGTTAATTAGTTTCATGTCGATCATTTACTAACTAAATAGCAATCGGCAATGTCATGATGATTGGGAACAGTAACAATAGCCGTCACATCCAGTAACACCTCACGGTCATTATACATTGGTTAATATGTTCAAACATCGTTAGGTCTTTATTTATTACTTGGTTTATACATCCACCGACCCGAAATAAAAAAAACCAAAAAACTTTATTTTTACGTTTGTTTTGTTTGTTTGTTTTGTTTTTTTTTTTGTTGTTTTTGTTTTTGTGGGGGTTGTTTTTGGTTTTTCTGTTTTTGGTTGGTTTGGTTGGGGTTTTGTGGTTTTTTTTTTGTTTGGGGTTTGTTTGGGTTTTGTTGTTTGTTTTTTAGCCATTATATGCCGCCGAACTGACCAACAACAAAAAAAGTTAAACAAGGAAGAAAAAATTAGCAAATTATACCTTTCAAATATTCCCAGAAACAGTACTTGTATGTGGGTGTGAGATCTCTGCTGGTCCGCACCCTACCATTCAACTTAAATATTTTATTCTCTGAGCTGATTAGTCAGATATATTCGCCTTTACCTGTGGAACAGAGGGAAAGGTAATGCCACAGGCAGCTCAGCTGGCATGCTGCACCTGGCATATATAGTATACTCAAGTATCCAAATAACATCTCCATATTCCCTTTTTTTCCTCCCTACCGACCTAAAATATATTTTTTAAAATCCCTAAACCAAGTAAT